AGAATATCGTCAATGTATACGATGACATTCCTGTTGAGCATATCCATGAAGACGTCATTGATGAATGACTGGAAGATAGATGGACTGTTGACTAGGCCAAAGGGCATAACCCGATATTCATAGTGCCCAGTGGTCCTGGAGAAGGCAGTTTTCCATTCGTCACCCGCCCGAATCTGAATGAGATTATATGCACTGCGTAAATCCAGCTTGGTGAAGAATTTGGCAGTTCTCAGCTGTTCCAGTGCAGAGGGTACTAAGGGTAGGGGGTAACGAAATTTAACAGTCATTTCATTGAGGCCACGATAATCGATGCAAGTACGGAGACCGCCCTCCTTCTTCTTAACGAAGAAAAACCCCACGGATGCTGGTGGAGGGTTGGATGAAGCCCTTAGCCAGTTCCTCCTGAATGTAGTTGTTCATGGCTTCGGATTCTGGTTGTGACAGGGGAAATATATACGGCCCTTCGGGGGGCTAGAGTCGGGCAGAAGATCGATAGCGCAGTCGGAGGGTCTGTGAGGAGGCAGTTGAGAGGCTCTGAATTTGCTGAAGGATTCCCCTAGATCATGGTAGACAGTAGGGAGCCCCGGGCAGTCAGTATCTGTAATGTTAACAGCTAGAAGATGAAGAGGAGTGATGTTCTGAACACAGCCGGGAAAACAGTTCTCATTCCAGCTGATTATCTGAGATTCCTGCCAGGAGATGGGTGGGTTATGCCTGAGGAGCCACGGCAGTCCTAGAATGATAGGTGCATGAGAAGTTGAAATAATGTAAAATTGAATGGTCTCCTGATAAGAATTCCCGTTGCCATACTAAGTTTCGTTGTCATATGAGTTATCTTTCCTGTGCCCAGTGGTCGTCCGTCGACCGCCTCAACTGCCAAAGGAGAAAGACATTCTATTAGAGCTATCCGGTATTCTTGAGCAAAATCCAATGACATAAAATTTCCAACCGCCCCCGAGTCTAGCATGGGCGTGCGGAGACAGTTCTTATAGAGAGAGTGATGGTGACAAGAACAGTAATGCAGTTATCAACATTGAGAGCTAGAATGGGAACACTTACCCGAGTAGTGGGGTCTCTGCGAGAGCGAGAGGGGCAAGACAGTCTCATGTGGCCTGGCTCACCACAATAGAGGGAGAGACGGTGATTAATGCGACGATCTCTCTCCTCAGGCGAGAGGTGATAGGTGTCGACCTGCATGGGTTCGTGGGTGTCAGAAACAGTCCTAGTAGTTGTTCTTGTTGAGGGGCGTCGTGATCTGAGAAGATTGTCAATCTGAATAGAGAGCTCCATAAACTGATTTAAAGTTCTCCCCTCATCTCGGCATGCTAGTTCCGTCTGTAATTCGGGACTTAAACCTCTCCTGAAGTGTACCTTCAGAGGATCCTCGGTCCATGTTGTTTGTGCGGCGAGCGTACGAAAAGACAAAGCATATTCCGCAGCCGTTCTCCTCCCCTGCGTCAGTGTGAACAACTGTTCATCTGCACTCCGACCATCCCTTGAATGATCAAAGGCCTCCCGGAAATGTTGAAGAAAGATTGTAAATGAAGGGAAAGGAGATCTGTCCTCCCTCCATACTGTTGTCATCCACTCCAGCACTTTACCAGTGAGAAGAGAACAAACAAAAGAAATCCTCCCCTCCTCTGTTGCATACAGGGCTGGTTGTTGGTTAGCAAACAGGGTGCATTGGAGAAGAAACCCCTTGCACTGAGCTGGATTACCGTCATACTTCTCAGGGAAAGCTAAGCGGGGAGTAACGTTGGAAGCTTGCGCTGAGGTGACCGCTAGAGCAGTGTTAGTTGGAGGCACCGAGAGCTCAGGTGGAGAAACGTGCAGTGTCTGTAATGTCTTGACTAATTCCTCTGTGAGTGCAGTCAACTTCTGCAGCTGATGATGATGAGTGGCTAGTTGTGTCGCTTGTGCAGACAGCTCTGAAGAGAGTTGATAGATCGCTGCTGGATCATGTTGTGGCGAAGTCTTCTGTAATGATTCATCAACATGGCTGGGATCCATTTGCAGTTTTATTTGAAACTTAATCAAACAAGCAGAGGTCAAGACACAGATAAGGCAGTATCGTAGGGTAGACAGAATCGCGATCATAGATAGACCTGAGATCGGGGCAGGCAGAAATCGTTCGGAAACTGGGGCAGTCATAGGTCAGGGCAGGCGGCAATCCAAAGTTGATAGTCCAGTATCCAGAGCACAGGTCCAATAGGCAGGCAGCAAACAACACGAGAAGAAGGCAGGCAGAGGTAATAACAGAAGGCAGTCCAATGTAACCGGAATAACGCTCAGAGATGTTCACCAAGGCAAAACAAGACTTCGCAGTGAACCTGGGTGAAAGAGCTCATTAAATAGTCTAACGTAATGGGGAACAGGTGTAGGGGAATAATCAGTGACAGGTGCAGGGCTGATGGGAAATGTAGTGCGGGAAGGAAACTAGTACTCTGGTGATGGGGCCCTCTGGTGGCCCGAAGGGAGAGTAGCAGGAGCGCTCTCCGTGACACCCAGACTGTCCTTGCAAAGTTGGAATTGCCCCACTTTATAGAAACATTGTAGTCTACTCTCCCAGGATCAGGAAATAGTCCTCCATAAAATGTGCTGCACACATATGAATATTTGGGTTGAAGTGTTCTGGAACAGTGTTGTAAATTCACAACAAAACACACAGCGCCTTCACGACATGGCGGCGGCTGCAACAATACTACAGCGAGAATAAAAGTTACACCTTCTTTCTTTGCGTGAACATTTGGGCGGCGTTATGCAAATCTTCCAACATCGTGACATAGATATGTGGAGGCGTGTTAGAACGAGGCGTTTTAGGGGGGTGTGGCTGACTCTTAACTTTTATAAAGAATATCTCTTTGGATTTTGAGACATTCTATCACCGATGGAGTATTGGTTCCTTGCTGCTGTTGCCTCTGGCTTGCTTAGTTGGGAACACTTCATTTCCAGCGATATCGTTGACTTGATTGCAAATGATTGCACAGAGACTATTTAAATTGAACTGAGCTGGATGTTGACATCACTGAATTCAATGATGAACTGTCTTTAACTGAAAAATGAGTGTTTACTATTGTCATTTTGCATTATTGACACACTATTTTCCTAATTAATGCTGTTCAGTTGCTTTGACACAATCTGTATTGTTAAAAGTGCTATATAAATAAAGGTGACTTGACTTGACTTTAGTCTTTGCAACTTTACAGATCTTCTTTATGCACCAAGAGCTTGTAACACTCCAAAGAGAAAGGAAAACTTGAAATCGCATCATATGACCTCTTTAAATGTTCCTCTGGTGCAAAAGCCCAGTAGAGTCTGTCCTATGTTCATGTACTGTCTGGTTTGGTTCAGCTACCAAATCAGACATCAGATAAACTGTACTCATTTAAATAACATATTTGTACATTAATAAATGTGTATTATATATTTGTCCAATAATTTTATTACTGAATTATTAGATTTAAATTTTTGTCTTTATAAATAATATTTTTGTTATATTTTATTGCCTAATTCCTATGTATGCCTGCACTTTGTCTGTGCTTTCCTCTGCATTGCTCCAGTCACCAAGACAAATTCCTTATGTGTGTACTTGGCAAATAAAGCATTCTGATTCTAATTCTCAGAGCCAATTAGGGCTGAGACGATTCCTTGAATACCTTGAGTAACTCGAATACAAAAAATCACAGAGGCAAATTATTTGCCTCGAGGCTTCGTTTGGTCCATTTACTGTAACTACACACGGAACACCGTGTTTCCCCACGGACCATTATTACTGATGCACAACCTGATAAATGCTGGACCACAGACTGTACATATTTAAGATCGTAAATCAATATGGTGGCTAGTTACGCTGTCCCTGCGTTTGCTATGTTTTATGAAAGACTAAGCGCCATTGTGCATAAAAACACCACAGAAAGAAAGGTAGTCAATATCACACGAAGAGTGCCATTTGCAACTTTACAGATCTTCTTTATGCACCAAGAGCTTGTAACACTCCAAAGAGAAAGGAAAAATTGAAATCGCATCATATGACCTCTTTAAATGTTCCTCTGGTGCAAAAGCCCAGTAGAGTCTGTCCTATGTTCAGCTACCAAATCAGACATCAGATAAACTGTACTCCTTTAAATAACATATTTGTACATTAATAAATGTGTATTATATATTTGTCCAATAATTTTATTACTGAATTATTAGATTTTAATTTTTGTCTTTATAAATAATATTTTTGTTATATTTTATTGCCTAATTCCTATGTATGCCTGCACTTTGTCTGTGCTTTCCTCTGCATTGCTCCAGTCACTAAGACAAATTCCTTATGTGTGTACTTGGCAAATAAAGCATTCTGATTCTAATTCTCAGAGCCGATTAGGGCTGAGACGATTCCTTGAATACCTTGAGTAACTCGAATACAAAAAATCACAGAGGCAAATTATTTGCCTCGAGGCTTCGTTTGGTCCATTTACTGTAACTACACACGGAACACCGTGTTTCCCCACGGACCATTATTACTGATGCACAACCTGATAAATGCTGGACCACAGACTGTACATATTTAAGATCGTAAATCAATATGGTGGCTAGTTACGCTGTCCCTGCGTTTGCTATGTTTTATGAAAGACTAAGCGCCATTGTGCATAAAAACACCACAGAAAGAAAGGTAGTCAATATCACACGAAGAGTGCCAGATTTCACCTCTAAAATCAGCATGACTACAAATGTGATTTTATTCAACAGTTCAATAAACAAGAAGGTAATATTAAGAGACTTACGTTTTAGACACTATATTGCCTGATTTTGCAAAAAATCCAAACACATTCACAGCACTGTTTTGTGTCTCTGAGCAACATGATGGCGTTTCGTTCCTGAATGAATCAACCGTTTAAATGATTCAGTTCAATCGCAATGACTCAATTCTTAACAGTGACTTGCTGCCACCTGCTGGTGGTTTTAATTTCACATTTAAAGTATCTTTTAATTTTTTTAATAATTTTAGTATTCAATATTTTTATGTTTAAAATAACAAAATATTATTTATGCATTTGTAACTGCAGGTTAAATGCATTCATGTCCCTCTGTGTGGGAAATGCATCCCATGCAGCTTTCTGTGTTTCCTCTGCACTGCAAAGATGAATTTTGATACTGATATCATTTGTTTGGTAACCACCCAAAATGTCTTTTATTCTAATTGACTGATTAAATGTAAAAATTTGATTCAAAAGATAATGCACACTTTTAGAAAAAAAGGCTTTATAAAGGTAAAAAATGCCCATGAAATCAATTTAAACTTATTGGAACAGATCATTTCTATCACTGCTGTTAACTGACCAGTACACAGAATATGAAGGATATCAAAAACAAGTTTTACACACACACCAGTACGTAAAGAGACATTTAAGAGGGTTTATTCTCCAAATAACTAATTTCATGTTGCAGAAAAATGTGTTTAAAAATTGTGTATGGTCTCTTGTTCTTGTTCCAAGTTACCTTCCTGTCCACTGATGTGTGCCTCTCACAAAAGCCATGGCTTACGTCATGCTTGAGCTTTAGCTAGGCTGAAACTTGAAAGTTAAGTTGCACGACATAAATGCAATGTTTAGGTATTATTATTATTTTTATTACTATTATTTTGAATTATGCCTTGGTTTTAGTTTGTACTGTTTACCTTTTTTAAAGTAATGTGAAATTGATTTTTGTTTTTTATTTATATATTTGTATTTGCATTTTGAATGTAATTTGGCAATTAAATGCATTAAATGGGTTTAAAATGAGCGTTTACTATTGTCATTTTGCATTATTGACACACTATTTAATGCTGTAATGCTGTTCAGTTGCTTTGACACAATCTGTATTGTTAAAAGCGCTATATAAATAAAGGTGACTTGACTTGCAACTTTACAGAGAAAGGAAAAATTGAAATCGCATCATATGACCTCTTTAAATGTTCCTCTGGTGCAAAAGCCCAGTAGAGTCTGTCCTATGTTCAGCTACCAAATCAGACATCAGATAAACTGTACTCCTTTAAATAACATATTTGTACATTAATAAATGTGTATTATATATTTGTCCAATAATTTTATTACTGAATTATTAGAATTTAATTTTTGTCTTTATAAATAATATTTTTGTTATATTTTATTGCCTAATTCCTATGTATGCCTGCACTTTGTCTGTGCTTTCCTCTGCATTGCTCCAGTCACTAAGACAAATTCCTTATGTGTGTACTTGGCAAATAAAGCATTCTGATTCTAATTCTCAGAGCCAATTAGGGCTGAGACGATTCCTTGAATACCTTGAGTAACTCGAATACAAAAAATCACAGAGGCAAATTATTTGCCTCGAGGCTTCGTTTGGTCCATTTACTGTAACTACACACGGAACACCGTGTTTCCCCACGGATCATTATTACTGATGCACAACCTGATAAATGCTGGACCACAGACTGTACATATTTAAGATCGTAAATCAATATGGTGGCTAGTTACGCTGTCCCTGCGTTTGCTATGT